TTTTTATCTGTACCACCTGATGAAGGGCGATGCCCGAAAACGTTTGTGTTTTTTACCATTAAAAGTTACGGCTACTCTACACTTTTGCTTTATGCGTTTTATTACTATATATATATATATATATATATTTATAATGTATTTATACTGCTAGTCCATGTTTCCCCCATTGCTTGGAGAGCCACTCAGACAGTAATTAATTTTACTTTTTGGTAATCCTACCGGCTCTTGGGGGAAACATGGATTACCTTTTCGAATTTTCTGAATATTTTACTGTATTGTTATGATAAAAAAAAAGGCGAAATAAATGAAATGAAATAAAAATTGAGTTTTTTCTTAATTTAAATGGCAATATTATGACGTCACAATGTCCGATCAGCCATTATGATCTTTAAAATCGTATCTACAACTCATGTGCTCTCAGAATATGTAATAAAAATTGACGGTCACCTTTCATCATAAGGAGCTATATCTGAATATAAATAGCTTGGCATAATTATAAACATATGTAATTTTTGACGCACGCGTATGCGCAAGTTAAGACGCGCAAAACAAAAAAGTAAGATACCTAACATTCAACTTTGAACTGAAGTATAAGCCCATTTACTATTATTCAGAAATAACGAATGGTTAAGATGATTTGACGTCAACGTTTTGAGAAAAGAAATATAAATTTTTTCTTGTTTTTTCATTCAGATGGCAATATGATGACGTCACAATGTCCGATCAGCTATTATGATATATAAAATCATATCTACAGCTCATGTGCTTTCANATAAAAATTAGGGGTCACCTTTCATCCTAAGGAGCTATAACTGATTTAATAAAAGGCATGATATAAAGCATATTTTAATTTTGACGCACGCGAACGCTCGCGTTATTACGCGCGCACAAAAGTATAATTTACATAACATTTAACCATGACCTGAAGTTTATGCCCACTAAATATGATTCAGAAATCACGAATGATTAAGGTGATTATGGGGTCATCAATGGTTTGACGAAAGAAAGATGAGGGGTGTAGGGAAAACCCTATATTTTGACCATGATGACGTCATCAAAATGTAAAAATGTGTCACATATATAAAACAGAATTGCCTCAGCTATACCATACGAAAAGTTGGAAGACAAACGACCAAGAATAAGCAAGATACGCTCAAATGCGCATTTTTTTTTTAAATGACGTCATCGATAATACTCAGTTTGTTGAATTCAGATGGCAATATGATAACGTCATAATGTCCGATCAGCCATTATGACCTATAAAATCATATTTACAACTCATGTGCTTTCAGAAAAAGTAATAAAAATTGGGGGTCACTTTTTATCCTGAGGAACTTTAACTGATTAAAAAAAGGTACAATTTTGACTCATTTTGACTGAAAATTGACAAAAACGCGCAAATGCACACGTATCTTAGATGTGCGCGTACTGCACTATTATTAGGCATTTTTCGTTTTGACTACGCGGCCAATCGACTACGAACTAATGGAGCGTTGCAGACATCTGCGCATGCTCATAAACCTTACTGACTAAATCTGCGTTGTGATAGCTCTCGCGACTACCCCAAATTCTGAATTTAGCGTTGTGGCGACTACCCTACTATCGACCAATCAGATCACTGGATTGTTTGGCCAAAACGGCTGGTGATCTTTTGCGAATGTGTTTACGAATACGTGTTATCGAATGGTGACGTTCGTTCGTTCATCATTAAAACAAGTAAGTAATTAAGGATTTTAAGGCGACATATTAAATAAAAAACATATAATAAATGAGGAATGAATAATTGTAAGTCACTACATGAAATGAGGTAAATCAGGGAATAGTGAAAGGTCTTACCTAGTTAGGCCTAGCCTAGGCTGGTCTTGTCAGGATGGATTTCGGGTGGGAGGAAACACATTGTGTGGGTTTGCCATGATCTAGGCTCAGGCCCTCCCTGTCGGGGTCCCTGCTAATAGGCCTAGGGATATTGTTTTAAATAATGTATCTGTGGGGGAGGACCGCTCTTGCTGCACTCTTGGAACACTGGATCGCAGTATAGCCTTGCTAGCACATAAAAATACCTCTCTTTAAAAATATATATATTTATTTGGACCTCAGGCATATCGTTGTATTTTGGCAAATTGGCTGAGCAGGTCTGACACCCCTCTTCTCCCGGTCCCTGACTCATTTGGCACCTAGCCTTCTAGGCCTAGATCTTAACCGACAGCAAATATATATCATTCAATTTTCATGGAAACTTTTCTATTTACATTTGAATAAGGTTGTTTTATTCCCATTTCCTTTTTTAAATGTAAAATAAAGACAGGGAACAGTGTTCCCTGGTTTTAAAAAACATAGCCCGGTACCGTCTCTGCAGAGACCGGAAATCTTCGATGCAGCATAGAGATGTACTTTCGCTATAGGGTTCCTGGTATGCTTAGAGGTCGCCTTCGTCCGACCGTCCGTGAGCGGGACGAGCCCGAAGCTTGGAGAGTACGCTCCGAACTGCTATCGCCGAAGACTTTGTTCGCATTGAAGAGAAGAGATTTCAGAAAAGAATTCACGCGTGAACTAATGGAAGACGAAGACGTCGCCATCGACCTGGTCGGCAGCAAATGCGCCGTTGAACTCGACGAGCTGTTGGAAATCGATCGAGAGACCTTGACGCCGGAGACGGCCAAGTCTTTGGAGCAAATAGATCCGAGGGCTATAACGAAAGATTTGGAAGGTCGACGCATATCTTTTCGGCACATGG